TTCTAGTTGAGGGGCTGAATGAAGAAAGCTACAGGGGATGGTGGGTTGGGGCTAGGTGGGAGAATCTGGTGTTGGTGGAAAGAATACCAACCTGAGAGCCAGAGAGATGGTTCAGGTTCAGCCCTGTGGCTCCTTCAGTTTCTGTGTCCGTGAAAGGAGTGCAGTGATTCCTGCCTCACAGGGTCGGGTTGACACTGGAAAACACCTGGATTTGTGGGCACCATTCTGGTAGCCGCCCAGCCCAACAAGGTGTCTCTGTCTTTAGAGTCTGCAATGACAGTTCACAGGCTGGTTCGTGTGCACCCTTCTTTCCATCTCTCCTCACATTCATCCTCAAAAAGACTTCACTGCATTTACTGAACACTTGCCAGGCAACACAGTTCTCAACACTTCACCTGGAAATCTCATTTAAGCCTTAAAACAACCCTATGATGAGGGTTGTTCCGATTGATGATGCTTTGGTCATGGGCCGTGAAGAGCAGGGGGGATTTGCTTTGTTGACCCTGAAGCAAAAGCTGTGCAAGGAGCGTCACATGTGAGAAACAATGTTGTCTACAAAGATCCCATGAGGTGGGAAGTCCTCTCCTCAGGCTGATGAGAAGGCCCAGGTCCAGAGGGGTGAGCGGGTCTGGGGTCTGCATGTGGCTGGTTCTTTCTGTAGCACACAGAGGGTCTCCATGTCTTTCCAGGGTTTACATGTGTACCCCAGTTTGTGTTTGATTCCTAGCTCGGACTTGACCAAATGGACTGCTGTCAAGGATACGGTTAGTCATTACAGACTCCAGCTGTGTCACTCAAACAGCACAGGGAGACAGACCCGTGGTCTGTCTGGGACAGCTCGGGCTGTGTTTGGAGGCCCAGAAGCCACCCCACTGTGCTTATGCAGCTTGGCCTAAACCCTGAGTACCATATTTGCCCTTTGTCCATTCGTGCTCATGCATCCTAACATAGAAGAGTGAGTGGGGTCGTTTATAGCTTCCAAAATGATTTCATTTTCTGAGCCTTTGGTCTTCCAATCTGGCAGAAAATCAACAAACTTTGCCTGAGATGAAATGGCTCTGAGGCTTCCAGAAACGCCTCAGAAAGCTGCCCGCACTGGGCCAGCCATACATTGAAATGTGATGACTCTTCTCTGTTTGTTGCAGGTTTTATCAAGTAGAGCTCTAAATTGGTTGATTCAAAGCAATGGAGTAGTTCTGTCTTACTTCCCCCGTGTCCAGTGTGTGATAAGAGTGTGGAGGTGAGAAGTGAGGGGCTGGGGTGGGGGAACGTGGTATGCTTGTCTGTCTGCCTGCTCCATTCAGGACCTGCTGCTGGCTGGGCTCAATCTCCCTATGTGCAGCGTGGGTTGGCAAATGAAGCATGGCCCTGGATCCAGCCACCTCCTCAGCGGTCCTCTGCCTCAGAGCCCTGCCAGCTGCTTCCGCAGCACATGCAGGTTCCAGACAGGAGGAGACACAGCAATGAGGCCGTGGGGTCAGGGCGGCATCCTGGCCTCCTGATCCCTCTTTGTCTTGTGGACATGCTACCTTGTCATGACTGAGATACTGAAGTTGGGGTCACCTAGTATCAATGGTCACAAAGTGGGAAGGAAGGGGGTGGGGGATCAAAACCATTGCCACAAGTTCTTGGCAACCTGCAGAGCTGACAGAAGCAGGACACTTGCTTAGACACTGGCCCTGAGGATGCTGCTTCCTCCTCCAGCTGAAAGTGGCTGGACAGAGACCACGGGGCCCAGGAATGTCCCTGCATCTCTCAGCTGTAGGCATCCATGAGCTAATTGTTCTTGAGGCCTAGAAGTCATTGAGGACCTACTATGATGGTCTTCAGAAGTGTCACCTTCAGATAAGAACAGGTGTTTGTTCCCTCAAGCAGCTAGCACTATTAAACAGACTTCCCCCCCCCCCCGCAGCCAATATTATAATGAATGGTGAAAGACTAAGTAACTCCCCACTAAGGCAGAAAGAAAGGGAAGGATTTTTGTTTTTGTTTCCATCTCTTCTGTCCAACAATGGACAGGATGCTGGTTCTAGCCAGTGCAAACAGATAAAGAAAAGAAATAGAAGAGCACATTTTGTAGAGGAAGAAGCAAAACTGTCCATATTTGTAGGTGATGGAAATAGACAATCCTTAAGAATCTACAAGAAAACAACTAGAATTAACAAGTGGCTTTGTAACATCCTGGGATACCATGTCAGTACATAATCAGTTATATTTCTATACTGCTGAATAATTTTAAAGGAAATTAGAAATACCACAATAGTGTCAAAAAATCAAATATTTAGGGATAAATTGGACAATATCTGCACAACACTTCTATACTAAACATTACAAAACATTGCTGAGATAAAGAGAGAAATATATCATATCTTGATTGGAAGACTCATATTATTGGGATATCAATTCTTCCCGAATTGATCTAGGTAGTCAATGAAATCTCAATTGAAATTCCAGAAGGCTACTTTTTCCCCTATAACTTGACCAGATAGTTTAGCGTTCACATGGCAGGTAAAGGTGTGAGAATAGCCAAAGACACCTTGAAAGAAAGAGCAGTCAAGGGACTTGCCAGAGCTTTCTGTACAGAGCTGAGGTGTATACGGCTGTCGGTGTCAGCAAAACACCCATAAAGGAAGAGACTGCTGGGATAGAGAGGAGGGTCTAGAGATGGCTGAGTGACCGCCCAGTGATTTTGACAAGGGGCCAACACAGTGCAGCATGGGTGATGGTGCTAGAAAGACCTTTCATCCACATGGACAGAGAACCCTGGTCCCTACTTCTCCCAGCTTCCCAGCTAAGAGGTTAGGCAAAGATTTCACAGCAAAGACTCAAAAGCAAAAACTGTAAAACAGAAGATGGATAAACTGGAGTGTAACGTGTGATGAGAACAAGAGTGACTTTGCAGAGGAGAGAGCTGACAAGCCCACGTCGGCCGTGTAGCCATGGTCACATCAGCAGTGAGTCTCTGCAGGACATGACCAGAGGCATCCAGCCCTTGTGGTCTTCTATAAGCTTACAGCCCCAGTCTCATCATGACAAAGACATCACACAAACCCCAACAGGGGACATTCTCCCAAACAGCTAAGCATAACTTTTCAACACTATCAAGATCACAGAAAATAAGGAGAGTCTGAGAAACTGTCACAACCAAGAGGAGCCTGAAGCAACATGGTGACTAAGTGTCCTGCGGAGTCTTGGTTGGGATCCTGGGATAGAAAAAGGCCACCAGAGAGAAAATGAGGGGATTGGAATAAACTGTGGGCTTTAGTTAATGATTATGTGCCAATGTTAGTTCATTAATTCTAACAAACCTGCCACACTAACGTAAGACATTAGTAACAGAGAACCTGGGGATGAAGTCTATGGAAACTCTGCACTATCTTTAAAACTATTCTATAAACCTGAAGCTTTTCTAAAATACAAAGTTTATTTTTACAAAAGCAGCCATAAGGAGGGAAGGAGATTGGTAAATTGGACTTTATCAAAGTTTAAAATGACTCATCAAAAAACTTTCTCAAGAAAATGAAAAGTCAAGCTACAGATTGGGTGAAAATATGCACATCGGACAACCCAGAGAAAGGCTTGTACTAAGACTCTACAAACAACTCTGGAAACTCAACAACAAAAAGATAGCCTAGTCTGAAAAAGTGGTCTGAGCAAGCACTTCAGGGAATGCTCAAATAGTTGATAAGTTTGAGAAAAAGAGGTTCAACTTCTTAGTTCTCTGGAAATGCAGAGAAATGGAAATGCAGCAGAAAATCTCAGACGGAAGCTCTCCACGCCCATCAGAATGGCTAAGATCTAAAAGGCTCAAAGCACCAAGGTGGGGGACTGTGTGGTGCATCTGGAATGCTGGAGCACATCACAGCTAAGAATATAGAATGTTGCAGCCACCTAGGACAAGAGCATGGAAATTCTCTAGATCCATTGTATTTCAATATCCCAGTAATGCCCATGGGGAGCAGAAGTTCCCAGGGACTGAGGAAGCTGCAGAGTCCTTGGGTTCTTCCCACTCCACAGGCAGGAGACTGAGGTCCAGAGGAAGGTGTACAGCCATGGCTGCCCTGGGTCCACTGCCTCCTCCTCCCCTCCTCCTTTCCTTTTTACTTCTCTCTTCATGTCCCCCCCATCCCTATACCCCTCCCCCTCTTTCTTTTACTTCTTCCCTCCCCCTTGTCCTTCCTTCCCCCTTCCTCTTCCCTCCTTCCTCCTCTTCATTTTCCTCCTCCCTTCCCCTGCTCTCCTCCTCCTGCCTTCCTCCCCCTTCTCCTCCCCTGTCCCAGAGCTTTCAAGCTCAGGCTCCCCAGAGCCTACTGATGACACAGAGGAATTAAAAGGAGGAATACAAACTCAGCCAAGCCCTGGAGACTCCTGCTTGATATGGGCAGCTTAAAACTACTTTTCCTTTACATTTTTCTGTGACAACTCTTTTCGTGAAGAATCAAAAAGACTCTCATTAAGTCTTGCTGTTCAGAAGTGTCAGCCGGGGTTGCTAACATGAGATTCAGCAAGCAAATGCCAGGAGCCATCTGCGAGGGGTAATATTTCATTCCGCTTTTGCATAAATGATGCTACCCCCTTTATCTCTGGGCTGCCTGCCTTCAGTGCTGACAGCCTGTCCTGCCCAATGACTAGTACAGTCAGCCCGGGGAAGGGCTTCATTACGGCTCTGTTGTATTTAACAAGGGGTAACTTCAAAGTCCCAGCATCCCTTTCGAGAAATGCAAAGTTAGCTCTTTCCGAAGTTGGACACTGATGTGGGCAGGGTGCTGTAAAGTTGCATGCTGACTCCAAGCCTTCTTGATTGGCCTTGGTAGGGAAGGCAGTGAACAAGGCCTTGGGGAATTTCTAGACTGAGCCTCTCACTTCATGATTTCTTGGAGATAGGGAAAGGCTGCACCACAGTGACTGGATATTGGCCAGATATACTCATCAGAAGGCTCTTGTCAAGAGCTGGAGCCACGCCCAGGCTGAGGAATGACCTTGAGTCAGCAGGGCCCAGCTTACCTGTTCCTCTCTGACTGCTCCCGCCACCGTGGGGACCATCACTGATTCTTTTCCTGGGAGATGAGGGATGCCAGAAATTGCCAAGGTAAGAGTTCAGACCCCTGCGTGGTTTTGAGCATTTCCAGCCTTGCTGGTAACAATCACAAGCATCCAGACCTTCTGAGAAAGGTCCTTTCACAAGGTTAGGCTTGGCGAGATCTGACCCATGTAGTCTTTGGGTCGGTCAACAGAAATTATTAAGCACCTGCCAGGCCCAGATGAGCAGACTCAGGAGAAGCACAGGGCACACCGGGCCAGGTGCAAGGTCCCTCCAGGGACCCTGTGTCTGTCTTGCCCTTGTTCATGTCCTCTCCAGCCATTCTATCCACTTGAGTTTGTGTCCTGTCTGCCCATGTCTGTCCCCAAATCCTGCTCTGATGAGCCTTTGTCTTGGTGCTCTGTCTCTGTGTGTCCTCAGCTTGTGGGTGTGGGTTGCAGTAGGTGGACACTGGAGGTTTCCATCCTAGGAGATACACTGCTCTCCCATGGGTCTCAGGGAGCAGAACTGAGCCTGGGAGGGCTGAGCTAGGAGTTTAGTAGCTGGAGGAAGCTGGACTCTCAGCCTCATGATGCAGAGCCTAAGCCTTACCTCAGTTCAATTGAGGAAGCTCCTGGGTGATTCTGGGGCTGGAGGAATCTACAGGGACTTTTCCTGAGCAGCCCCTGGCCAGCTGCAGCCTCCCAGAATACAGTGCAGTCCTGTGGCCCTACTCAGAACCCATCAGGAATACCTCAAAGGCAGAATCTCACAGCTAGTTCCCTAGAGGCACCTGCTTTTCCAGCTGGGGCTCATCAAGAAAGGAGGAAAGGGAAAGGCACCAGTCGTGGGAGAGGCTGAGACAGGTTTCTGCCAACTGCAGAGGTGCAACCCCTCTGCCGGGCTTTAGTGGGGCGAGGTTTAATCTCAAAGCCCTGTCCTGACAGTCTGGTCTCTCCTCATCTGTGAGAGGTGACCAGCAGGTCTACTCTGAGCTCAGCCCTGAGGATTTTCTTCAGCAAGGCTGGATGCTGCCCTCTGATCACATAGAGCTTTGCTCCCAGGCCAGTCTCTTTAGGGGAAGAGGGAAGGCAGGGCTCTGATCCAGGATCTATAAATGTGAGATCCCATCAGATGTGGGTATGGTCACCCTAACAAGGGTCCCCAAAGGGTATAGATCCTAATCCCAAGAACCCATAAGCTATTACCTTACATGCAAGAGGTATTTTGTAGAGGTGGTTAAGATAAGTATCTTGAAATGGAGAGATTATTCTGGGTTGTCTGGGTGGGTCCTTAGAGTGGAGGCTGCAAGCTCAAAGAGAAGGTGATAAGACAATAGAGCAGAGACAGAAGATGCCACACAGCTGGCTTCAGAGGGGAGGGAGGTACAGGGAAGCTTCTAGAACAGGCATCCTCAAACTACGGCCTGCGGGCCACATGCGGCCTACTGAGGACATTTATCCGGCCTGCTGGGTGTTTTTGCCACCGCTGCCTGTCCTGCTTAGCAGCCGACTGGCCCCAGGGCCCGCAGTCTGGCCCTCTGACGGTCTGAGGGACAGTGAACTGGCCTCCTGTTTAAAAAGTTTGAGGACCCCTGTGAAGCTGAAGGAAGCACAGGGCAGAGCTCTCTGGGGAACAAGCTCTGCAGGTCCCGTGAACTTAGCCCGGTAAAACTCATCTCGGACTCCTGGCCGCCAGCACTGTAAGAGGATAAATCTGTGTTGTTCGGAGCTTCTGAGCTGGGTGATTTGCTCCAGTAGCCATGGGAGGGGCGGAATGTTCTCAGTCCAGCTTGAAGGAGGTGGGAGTTAGTTATTCATCTACCCCACAGGCTGTGATTAGCAGGTGGGACAAATGGATACACAAGCATACTGCATATGACAGGCTGGAGTGCTCAGAACAAACACGTGTGATGGCTTCCAAGCTCTGGGGAACCTACCTGATGCAGTGGCCTGAGGGCTCCTCTCAAAGTTTCCCTGGGGGAGTCTGTGTGGCAGCCGCATTGGGAGGTGAAGTTGATGATGGCAGCTGAGCATCACTGACAGCGATAACTCCCTCTCAAGACTTCCAGTGATCTAGAACTCATCTTCATTCACATTAATTGTTCCACTAAGGACTGTTTGGGTAGTAGGAATCAGAAATTTAAATTTGTGTATTAGTTGTGTCTTTGCAGCTGCAGGTCCTGAGATGCAGAGATAGTTCCTAGTAACACTCCAAAGGTGAGCACAAGTCTTCTGAACAAACTACACACATCTGCGGTGTGATTCGCCTAGAGCAAGGGTGGGGAACCTGCGGCTTAAGGCCACATGTGGTTGTCTAGGTCCTTAGGTGCGACCTTTGGACAGAATCCAAATTTCATAGAATGAATCCTTTTATTTTTATTAATACATTTTTATTCACTTTTTTTTTTTTTGAGACAGATTCTCACTATTGCCCTGGATAGAGCGCTATGGTGTCATTGTAGCTCACAGCAACCTCAAACTCCAGGGTTCAAGTGATCCTTGTGCCTCAGTCTCTCAAATAGCTGGGACTACAGGCATACATCACCGGGCCTGGATAGTTTTTTCTATTTTTAGTAGAGATTGGGTCTCACTCTTGCTCAGGCTGGTCTTGAACCAATCCACCTGCCTTGGCCTCCCGGAGTGCTAGGAATACAGGCATGAGTCACGCACTCAGCCTTGTCTTTTACATTTTTATTATTTTTTTAAATGAATATTTAAAATATAAAAGAATAAAATAAATTTTAACAAAATAATACTCCCAGATTGATCAGCATAATTAGACGTTAGTAAACCCATAAGAGCTAAATTGACAGCTGCTCCACTCGTGCGTTAGTCCTAACTTCTCCCAGCTGACTGGTGCCACTGGCATGAAGCTGGGTGGCTCGATTGTACCAGGGTGTTATCAGCTTTGACAATGGGGCACCATGTTTCTGTGTGGAGTTTGTGCATAGTTGCACAGTTCAACAAAGTTGTGGTGTCACAGCTCACAGCAACCTCCAACTCTTGGGCTTAAGTGATTCTTTACCTTAGCCTCCCGAGTAGCTGGGACTATAGGCAACCATCACAATGCTCAGCTATTTTTACTTTTTAGAGTTAGAGGTTGCTGTGAGCTATGATGATGCCACAGCACACCACCCAAGGTGACAGAGTGAGACTCTGTCTCAAAAAAAAAAAAAAAGTCATTGTTTGATGCTAAGAGAGATCCAATTGAAATATGGAAGAATGCCGTATAGAAATCTCCCCGTTACGGGCCACCCATGGGGTAGTTTCTGGTTGCTTGAGATTTACTATTAAAAATAGGCCTATACCCCTAATTCTATACCCCATGCTATACTATACCATTCTCTCAACTCTGTCTTGACTTGCTATTAGTATTAAAATACAGTAATTAAAAGCCAATTAAGACAAAGACAAATTTCACTTACTGTAACACAGTTTTACTCTCTTATTAAACAGCTTTGTAAACGCGGTGTACAATTTTAGTTAAATGGCAGTCAATACACTTTTCAACTTCACTACCATATGTTTTTAACTTCAAGTAACACACATTAACACTTAAGACTGTTCCAGAGAACACATGGGGCTTGCGGGAGTGATGCACGAAGCTTCAGCTTACTGATGGCACCAGGCACCAAGTTTAAACTCTGATTTCTGTTTTGGATGAGAAATGCTTTCTTGCTTTTCAACCACTTATTGCTGCCAATCTGCAGTCTCCTACTGAACCCAAATCAAGATGCTCTTAAAGCCACAAATGGCTGGTACTCATTTATAGGATCAACGGAAACTGCAGACCTCCATCCCACTACCGAACATTCAATGCTTTCCAGCAAAAAGCAGATACAATGAAATCATTAAAAGGTTAGTTAACTTATTAATGTTTTTCAGTTTTTGAAATTATTAAGTGCATAGCAGTTAGAATTTTACAAAATAATGTACATGTTTAAATAGATCTAATTGAAGTTTCTTGAATGTGGACTTAGTTGATTACAGCTAAATTAGTGTGGCTTCCAACATGGAAAGGTCTCCCCTGGCCTGGAGCCTGCTCAGGATGTGGGCAAGACCAGGCCCTCCAGGGCTCTGAGCACATTTAAATTCTCCTGTGCCCCCTACTCACAGGTAAAGTTTTCTGTACATTTATGTGGGTTGAGTACATGATGTTGAGAAGCTATTTTTATCCAGGAAGGGACATGTGTGGATAAACCATTTTTAAGCACTGCGGTTCTGAATGTAACCATGCAGAGGTCTACTACCCCCTGCAGCAGTCTCTGTCTCACTGAAATGAATTTTGAGGCTGAGCTCTGTAATTTGTAGAAAGAAATGCCCGTAATAACATAGCTGTTTTAAAGAATGCATTCATTAGTTTGCTTAAAATTGGAATTCAATTAAGAGCTAATACAATTCTAATAAACCTAGCATCCTTAGGCAAGGAGGAGATGGTGGCATGTTTTTCCTCATCGGAAGAGAAGTAGGCTTTTCTGGAGAGTGTTGAGGGCGGGCTCTACCTCTGTCTGACCTACATCTCTGAGTTAGAGGACAGTGGTGCAGGGGACGATCGTATGAACAATGCCCTCCACACATGGAGAGTTTTGTGACTCTCAAAGGCACATAGGCAGAGACCATCACTCCCAGCTTGCTGAGTTGTGGGAGCAGTGCAGGGTGGGACTCACCTGTCCAGGCCAGGGAAAGTTCTTTTGGAACAAGACTATGGTCATGATTTTAGAAAAAATAATGGTTTGTTTGTTCACTCAATTCATGTAGCACATGTCTACTGAACAAGCATCAGACACCCAGTTATGGCCTTTCTGCAATTTTCATTCTAGTGGGGAGCAGACAGTGAGTTAATCCCATAACTTAAGGCGATTATACATGTAGCCATAGATCATAAAGCAGATGAGGTGAGTGACAGGTCTTGAGGGGACAGGAGGGGGTCTAGCGCTCTGGAGGGCTGACTGCGGCCAAGTTCTGGGAGGAGGAGTCACTGGCTCAGAGACACAAAGGACAGAAAGGGGGTAGCTGAGTGCAGATGCGGGGGAAGAGCAAGCCAGCTGAGGACGGCACATACAAAGGCCCCGAGATGGGAACTTTGTGGTAAGCATGAGGAACGTGCCCTGACCACAACCTCTGACTTTGCCCAAGAACTCAAATTGATGACATTTATTCAGTACCATTTCTTGAGAACTCATTATGAGCTAATTGTTTCGTATGCAGTGCTTTCTACCAATTAATTTACTATAATCCTCCCTTCCTCAGCCCTTGTACAGATAGCTAGTACTGTCGGCCTCTTGTGCAGAAGAGAAGCCTGAGTGTGGTGAGCAGATGGGACTTGTCCGAGTGCAACCCACCTCTTGTGCCTCCAGACTTACCGTGGGCTGCACCCTGCATTTGACTCAGGTGGTACTAGTAGGAGCTAGACCACGCCATCCCTGGCAGGACCACGCCATCCCCAACAGGACCACGCCATCCCTGGCAGGACCACGCCATCCCCAACAGGACCACGCCATCCCTGGCAGGACCACTCCATCCCCAACAGGACAACACCATCCCCAACAGGACCACACCATCCCCGGCAGGACCACGCCATCCCTGGCAGGACCACGCCATCCCCAACAGGACCACACCATCCCCGGCAGGACCACGCCATCCTCGGCAGGACCACGCCATCCCTGGCAGGACCACGCCATCCCCGGCAGGACCACACAGCTGAATTCAACAATCACTGAGTACAAGTGAGGGAGGCTGGGTCCCTCCCCTCAGGGGCCTTAAAATCAGGGACTGGGGAAGAGTAATAAAAAGCAGAGTCAGCAAAGAAACATAAGAAAAGAGAGTGCCCATGCTGGGAGCACCTGCGGCAGAAAGGACTCTGCCTGAACCATACAACGGAGGCTGGGGAAGCCTGGGGTGCTTCTAGTGGACGTCAGTGAGGGGGTTTCCTTCCAGCCTGCTTCCTGGGACAGAGTGCTGGCTGGAACCAGTTCCACCTCTGTCTGAGCCGTTAACCACCTGAGCTGGTGTTCTGTCTGAAAAGTACTCTTCCTTCCTTCTATCACAGTAGTGGTGAGAACGCATAGTTTCTCAGGATGCCTTCAGGAAGGAGAAGGAGGTAGGAGCTTCCTTTAGGCCAGGACTGGATGGCATTGAGGTGACAGCAGGGGATGCTGAGAGCAGGGGAGCCACACTGAGGTGCTGGACACAACCTTATCCGAGTGGCCAGGTGGCCCTCGATTCAGGGTGGGTGTCGGGGCCCACACTGTGGGAGGAGGATCCAGTGCCTGTGGGGTCGTCAGCCAGCCTTCCCTGAGTCAGCCCCAGGGCTTCCTTCGTAGGCTGTGCCCTGTGCATGTGCCACTGCAATGTGCAAATTTCCCCTGTGGGATTCCGCCGAAATGTCACAGGATCCTGTGGCAGCTCCACCAGACAGGTTCAGAAAGGATGGGATTTTGTGTCTTTTCCTTCTTGTTTCAGGTCTACATCTGAGGCTCCAGCACCAAAAGACTGTGCCAGGCACAGTGTCCCCAGAGACAGGGAGCCTGGGCAAGGGCACCTACAGCCTTGGAGATGGAACTGGTGTCCCCCGAGAAGATTCAGCACAGAGTGCAGGCCTGACACTGATTCAGATAGGTCTGGAAGGAGATTTCCCTGGGATGCCAGAACTTTCCAAGAGGCCAGCTTCCCTCTGATCAGGCCTTCTCCCCAGCTGGATGCATTATTGACGAGGAGCCCCTCCCCATCTAACCCCCGCGAGAGCGTCTCATTTCCCTCCATGATAATTTATACTTGTAATTTTGGCCTTGGTCAATAAAGGCAACAGAGATTTACCCGTTCAATTTCAGCAGGAGGGGCAGAGACTCACAGGCAGGCATCCGTGCCGAGCTTGCTTTGGACTCCTCTAAAGGGAAGCAGAGCCATCAGAGGAAATATTTGCACACTGAAATAGGTCAGCAATTTCCTTGTCCCTGTGGGATTGTGTTAGCAAGTTTGCAAGTGGAAAATGCATTTGGAACTGCCAGTGCCTTACAACCCTCAAATGGGAAGTGGGATGTTAATCCTGCCGCTATTTTAAAACTGGTCTCGGGGTTGGGAGTAATTGAAATCGTTTGGGGCTTAATTTTGCATGAGGATGAGGCAAAGTGTGGCAGGACAGGAAGAGGAATCACTGGCAAAGGACAAGTGGCCCAAGAGGGTGGCGGGGCCCCAGTCTGGTCAGGGCAGCATCACACTAGGCAGATGTGGGAGCCAGGAGCTAGAGGGGACACTCGAGTGTAGGAGCAGCAGCTTGGGACAGCTCTCCAGAGCTGAGTGCTGTCGGGAGGATGGCTGTGGACAGGCTGACCTGGAAGGCAAAGGAGTGAGAGGGATCACTGGCTGCCATCGTGGCTCCTGGGGTCTGACTGGGACAGGGCCCCAAGGAGGCAAAACTTTTCTGGGTGAGTGCCATGTAAAGTGTGACCTATGGCCTTGGTGCTTGCTCTGTGAGTCTGCATGTGGCCAGCTACCCTCCCTGCCTTCCCTTCTCCTCGGGACCTGGGAGAGTGGAGACCACAGAGCAGAGGAGGAACTAGGGGCTTGACGGCATGTGGTCAGAGGCACGTGGCCAGCCCCACACTCTGACACCCACCCTCACACGTGCTCACACGGAACTGGGTCTATCCCCTGTGGGCCCTGGCACAGCCTGTGCTGGCCTCACTGGCTCACGTGGATTCTTGCTGTGGGGGCGGGCTGAGGTAGGCAACCGGGCCACCTGGGGTGTCCTGGCACAGCCAGGCCTGGCTTCCAGGAAGGCCACAGCTCTGCCCAGAGAGATGCCTCCTCCCCGGTGTGGCCTCTTTCCCAGCAAGAGCTCGTTAACTTGTTTTTCCACAGTATTCTTTGTCCCTGTCACCGGTCCTGGGGCTGGACACTGCCCAGGGGCAAAATATGCCAGGAAGAAGAGGCAGAGGGAGGGCAGTGGCAGCACAGTCACCAGGCGGTGCCTGTGTGGGCCAGAGTTCCTGCTCTTGTCACCAGCTGTCACTTCCTGTCACCTTGGAGTGTCCTGTGAGCTGCTTTGGGTACAGCCCATGTTCAGCCTGCTTGGAACCCTGGCCGGGCCAGGGCATCCTCAATTTCAGGTTCACTGGGAGAGGCTGTACAGGGTGCCCCCACTGGGCCAGCTCGGAGCCCTGCAGGGTCCCAACACTACCAACACTTCAAATTACAGCTGCTGAGATCCCCGAGGAAGGGCATTTTTACTGAGCTAGTTCTATGACATGGAGGAAATTAGAACTGACTTTCAGCTGTGAAAGAGAGCCGTCTAGTTCCTTAGCAACAGCTGCCTCTGCGTCTCCTGACAGGGGCACTGCTGGTCCCTCGGTGCTGCAGGGCCATCCTCTAGGTGGATCAGGGGCCAGTTAGCTGTCCTAGATTGCAAGTTCCCACTGGCATCATGACCTGCCACTTCTCCCCTTCCCTAAGGCTCAGAAAATGGAGAAAGGTTAATTTTCCAACTCTGTATTCGGTTGGGTTTGGGGCTTATGGGGGAAGAAAAGTGGTGGGGTAGAAAGTGTCTCTGTTCCTTCCTTCTTACATGGATATTTATGTTCATTCAGTCACCGGCATGATTCACTGAGCTTCTACTATGCACAAAAGCTGTGCCAGGTGCTGCGATTCAAGGTAGACGTGGAGCCTGCAGATCAGAAGTCTTAATGAGTTGCTTGCAGGAATTGATCTGGTTTCACCACAGAGAATTATGTGGGATACTTTACACCATGGGCCCTCAAACTTTTTAAACAGGGGCCAGTTCACTGTCCCTCAGACCGTTGGAGAGCTGGACTGCAGGCCTGGGACAAGTTGGTTGCTAAGCAGAACAGGCAGCGGCGGCCAAAACACCTGGCGGGCCGGATAAATGTCCTTAGCGTGCTGCATGTGGCCCACGGGCTGTAGTTTGAGGACCCCTGCTTTACACAGTGGCAAGGGACCCAGGCTAGAATGAGGGAGCCTCTGGCAGGACAGCCCCTCCCTACCTGTCCCTGCATTCTCGAGGCTCTTTCCCAGCAAAGTTGGCACAGCTGTGTTTCCAAGATGCCTCCAGAGCCCTGTGCCTGGGAGTGGCTCTCCAACCCACCTGCTTCCTTCGGGCCTTAGCCAAGGAGAGTGTCAGGGCTCGGCCCCTGCTGGTCATGAGCAGCAGCTGCTGGCAGATGGCTCCTGTCCATATAAAGCTGGACTCAGCCTCGAGCCAGGCCAAGTGTCCCTGGGAGGGAACCATGTTCACTTAGTGGGACACTAGCACTAGCTTGTCTAGCAAAGACTTTAATACCAACTCCTGGAATGTTCATCCAAATTCAAGGAGCTGACGCATGTTTAGAGTCTGCTTAGAGCAAGTGGTCCATAAATGTCCTCCTTTATTCTTGGTTTTCATCATTGTCAATCCCGGCTCTCAGAATAACAGGATGGGGGTAAAGGAGATGAGCTCCTCCTTGGGATTTGGTCTCTAGGTGTGAATGGGGGTCCTAGCTGACCCTACGGGGTCCTGAGGTCACTGTGTGCATCTCTGCCCCCATGTGCACTGGGCAGAGTTGTTATTGGCTCTATAGACAAGAAAAAATATATAGTTTTTTGATAGTTCTCTTATGTTTCAAGTTCTCAGGTCAGTAATATTTGCGGACCAGAACTTTGTAACTTTCTGTTACACTGATGCATTCCCTTTTGAGCTTTTTTTCAGAAATGACAGTGCTTCCTTGCAGCCACAAGATAACTACAGAGCCTTACACCACCTGTTGGCCCAGAGAAGACAAAATAAGCAATGCCCCGTCACAGATGGTGCCCAAGGTCCCTCTGAGCAGCCTACTCCCTGCATCCTGCCTGCACACAAGGCTGAAAGAATGGCCAGTATTAATCCCTAGCTCTTTATACTAATAAAATCCCCTGAGAGGGACATTATCACCATTTTTTGATCATACGACATATGTATTAGTATGATTTTGCAGTGCTTATGTGCCCTGCACTCCCCCCAACATGTAAAGATGCTCGGTCCCTATGCATTATTCCTTTCACCTCCAGAAAAACCCTTGACCCCACTGGTGCAGATTTTAGGCAGTCCCTCCCTCCCACCTCCCTATGTGGCCTCTGCAATAGATCCTTTCTTCCCTGACAGTCTTCCTTGTCTCAGTAAGCAGCTTTCTGTGGGACTTGAGAGTTCGGTGACAGAGTCAAGGGCGTCCCCTGCAGAGTGAGACAGAGTGGAGGCTCTTTGCATTTGGCCAGGAGGGTCTGAGTTGGAATCTCAGGTCTTCCTTCTTCCAGCCTCTGCCAAGTCCCCTCCTCCTCGAGAGTGAGGTGGGCATCTATGGTGTGGGCAGGATGCAGAGCCCTGAGCGAAGTGCTTCCCAGCATGGACCCTTCCCCAGTTCTATAGCTGGGAGAGCTGGATCAGAGGGGCTGGATCAGAGAAGGTCTGCCCTGGGCACACATGGATGGGAAGACAGATGTGTCGGTTGTGGCCCAGGGGATCAGAAAGGCATGTGCCCCCTCCAAATGCAAAGCTGGTGAGGGCAGAGCCTAGCCTTGATTCCTACAGAAACAGGCCAGCTCCTGTGCTCATGGATGGGTCATGTGTTCACTTGACAGACGGATATATTTTACACGAAACTAAATTCACAAGGGCTCAAGAACAGCCCTAGTCAGGAAAACCTCCAGGGTTCATCAGTAGAGACCCCAGCTCTGGGTCTGTACTGGGAAGAGCTCTTTCCTCCTCAAGGGCTGGGCGCAAAGTGCTTCACTCAGCATGAATAGCTCCCTCACTAGCACGGGCTACACTCCGAGACCCCTGCGGCTGCCTGGAACTGTGGAGGGTCTCAAACCCTATGTATACTGTGTCTTTTCCTATCCCTACCTATCATAAAGCTTAATAAGTTAGGCACGGTAAGAGATTAACAATAAGAACTAATAATGAAATGGACAATTATAGAAAGTACTATAATAAAAGTTATGTGAATGTCTCTGACTCTCTCTCAAAATATCCTACTGTTGTGATATTTTGGCCACAATTGACTGCAGGTAAGTGAAACCACAGAGACCAAAACCTAGGTAAGGAGGCCCCACCGTGACCTCAGCCGCTCCTCTCAGCATGTGTGACGCGTGGCACCGGTTGAGCATCAGTGGTGCAGGAGTAAGATGGAGAATCACTTGCCTACCGTTCAGGGGCCGGAGCATGGGGAGACCGCCTCTAGGTCTGTCTGGCCCCCTCTGGACACCAGGCCTCAGGCCTTGACTGTGACACTGGCATGGCAGGGGAGTGATGTCTTCCCCAAGGCCCTGTAAGTGACCCTCATCAGAAGAGGGGCTCCATTACCCCTGGGGGCCTTGGCAGCCCTGCCAGCCCGTGTGGTGGAGCCCCGGCTCTTC